CTGGGGCCAGCGCCGGGGACCCGAGAGGCCCCACCCGGAGCCCCGCGTGGACGGGGAGTGTCTGGTCAAAGCAGAGGCTCCCCTCCCCGACCCCGACTCCGACTTCCTGGAGGTGGCCAAGAAGATCCGCGAACGGAAGGAGAAGGCGCTTTCCAAGCAGGCCGAGCTGGGCGGCCTCAGCACTGCGGGGGGCTCGGCCAGGGTCACCCCCGCAGACGACCCGAAGCCCGGGGAAGAGAAAGCCAGGCTGGACACCGAGCCAGACAAGGCTCCCGAGTCCCCCTCGCCCAGGCCGAGCAAAGGCCGAGAATGCGCGGAGGTCAAGAGCAGAGCGTCCGATGGGGAAATCCGGACCCGGGGAGAGTGGGTCTGCAGGGGCAGCGTCAAGAAGCGCCTCAGCCTGTTTGGGGAGGAAAGCGCCTTGGCCGTGGGGTCTGAACCCCCACTGGCCACCCCTGAGTCCCCATCGGCTGCTCCAGAGCCCGAGAAAGCGGGACTGAGCGTCCAGGATCGGATCAAAGGCTGGGCCACCGAGAGCTCCAAGGTCAAGCCGGAGGTCAGGAGGCGGGCGTTCCAGGCTCGGCCACTGTCAGCGGATATGACCAAACTGTGAGTGGGAACGTCCCATGGGGTTCACTCTGTCCCAGAGCTGCCTCAAACCACCCACCAGAGGGCCCCCCTCCCCGCCCCGCCCCGGATGAGGCACTGCAGGCCCCAGGTCCGTGCTGGGCACCTTACACCTCCTCTCTGGATTCACCCGCAGCCTCAAGAGGAAGTGGCGTTAGCTGCCATTTCTCAGATGAGGCTCGTGCCAGCAGTGGGGCCAGGAGCTCGGTTTTCTTGTCTCTTCTCATCTTTGCACTGGGGAGATATTGTACCCATTTCACAGATTGGGATAGGAAAGGTGAAGGACCATGAGGAAGTCGATGTATTCCAGCTCAGCCTGTCTCCATAGCTAAGCTTTCTTCTCCTAAAGTCTGTGGTCACCTAATGTATGGCCGAAACCTCCACGAGTGGCCGGCAAAATAAAACCAGATGGGTCAAGATATCTTGAGCCTCGGTTTCTTCATCTCATGATACTAAGATCTTTCTTAAAGGTAAAGACCCAGAGCATAATACTGAGAATCACTCTGCCCGTGGAAAGCCCTCAATGCATTGTAGCTTTAAATAATATTATTAACCCTGTTAGTTAGTGGTCATTTTCTAAGCTCTCCCGGCCTCTGATATCTCTTGTGCCTTTGTTTTCCCACAAATGGCTTCTTGCTTACAACAGGGAGATGCCACTGGGCGTGTCTACTAGCTCAGTAATGACATGCATGCCACTGACATACTCTGTTAGGGATGGAGCTTCCAGGGGGCAGGACCTCTGGGCAGACTGCCCTCCCAGCCCTGGGAACTAGGGCAGCCAGCTGGGCCAGAATTAGACCAGTGCTCTCAGCATTTAGAATCACCGAGAAAAAATACCAGTGCCTGGGTCCCACCTCCTGAGATTCTGATTCAGTGGGTCTAGCAGGGGTGGGCAAACTTTTTGACTCGAGGGCCACAATGGGTTCTTAAACTGGACCGGGGGGGCCGGAACAAAAGCATGGATGGAGTGTTTGTGTGAACTAATATAAATTCAAAGTAAACATCATTACATAAAAGGGTACGGTCTTTTTTTTTTTTAGTGTTTTATTCATTTCAAACGGGCCGGATCCGGCCCTCGGGCCGTAGTTTGCCCACGGCTGGTCTAGGGAGAGGGGCTCCTCACTTGGTTGTTTTTAAAGCTTCCGGGGTGATTCTCATGTGTGGGCCTGAGAACCCCTGAGCTCAGATAACAGAGAAAGGGGCACCAGTGTCAGGGACCTCACAGGCCCCCTCTCCCTGCAGCGCCTTGGATTAATCCCACTGGACAGATGGATAAACTGAGGCTCCAAGTGTGGGTCAGGTTTCAGAGGTTTGATTTCTCTCTCCTTTCTTTCCTCTGCGGCCTCCCTCCCCCTGCCCCACAAACTAATCTTTAGGCATCCACTCTAAGGAACTTTTCAGAACTCCCCTTTCTCCCTCCTCCCCTTCACAAGTGGGAAAACAGGCCCAGAGAGGGACAATAACTTGGCCAAAGTCACCCGGGGAAGCAGAGACAGGCCCGTGCCCCCACACATTCCCCCAGTCCAGTCCGGTGACCGGCCTGCAGTGGGGCTGCTGTTGTGCCTGTGGTTGCTAACAAGAACCATTAATTATTCCTCCCGGGGCATTCTCAGTCTTCCCTGAACGCCCTCAGGTAGCTATTAGGGCTTGGGGTAGCCTCCTGTCCGCCCTACAAAAGGCGATGGGGAGGTGTTAATTATCCCCATTTTATAGATGAAGAGACAGAGGCTCAGGTGAGGTCACAAGCCTGACCCAGGCTCCCGCGGTGGGAGGTTGGTAGAGCTGGCATTAGCACCCAGATCTCCTCCCCCCAGCCTGAGGCTCCTGGTACCCCGGTGATGCTGTGTTTAAGGTAGGCCATCCCTCCTGGGCCCTTTTCTGTTGGCTTGGTGACCAGAAAGGAAATGTCTTTTCTCAAAGCAAATCGGGCACTGTTGCTTGGATGATCTCCGATTCCACCCTGGGTCCCTGAGCTGGCTGTGGGGTATGGGATGGAGGGAGTCGTCGCTGCTGGCCCAGCCATGTAACCTGGATCTCTGTCCCAGGTTTTCAAGTTCAGCTTCAAGCAGTGAAGTCAAGTATGAGAGGTGCTCGGAGCCGAGTGGCGAGCTTGCTAAGGAGCCGAGAGAAAAGGTGAGGAGTCACTGTGTTTGGTAGCTACACTTACCGGAAGGGCTTTTCTGACCTACGAGACCCAGAAAGAATCGGAAGCCTCTCACAAACAGTAAGACAGTTTTCCCTCGAATGCCGGGACTGTTGACGTCCCTTCCGGCATGCTGGCCGCGAGCCCCGTTCCCTCGTGTTAAATGCTTTTTACAAACGAGATCCCAGGTCTGTATTTTTTTCTGTGCACAGAGGGAAACTGGCATGGATTTCCTCTGTGAGCATGCCTGCTTTGTTAAGAAATTAATAAAGCTGCCCGGCCGGCATGGCTCAGTGGTTGAGCATCGACCTATGAACCAGGAGGTCACAGGTTCGATTCCCGGTCAGGGCACATGCCCGGGTTACGGGCTTGATCCCCAATAGGGGGCGTGCAAGAGGCAGCTGATCCATGCTTCTCTCTTATCATGGATGTTTCTATCTCTCTCCCTCTCCCTTCCTCTCTGAAATCAATACAAACATATTATTTAAAAAAAGAAATTGCCGTAATCGGTTTGGCTCAGTGGATAGAGCGTCAGCCTGCAGACTCAAGGGTCCCAGGTTTGATTCCGGTCAAGGGCATGTACCTTGGCTGGGGCACATCCCCAGTGGGGGGTGTGCAGGAGGCAGCATGTTTCTCGATCGATGTTTCTAACTCTCTATCCCTCTCCCTTCCTCTCTGTAAAAAAATCAATAAAATATATTTAAAAAAAAGAAATTAATAAAGCTTTAAAAATGTTCATAGAAACCCCCTCAATTTCCCTAATTATGGTCCCTGCTTCCTTCTCAACCCTGACTTTCACCTACCAGCCACAGGAGGGAAATTACGGGCAATTAAATTGCTCAAAAAGTATCTATATTTAGTTTATTTCCTAAGAAAAAAACTCATAAAAGAACTCCTAGGTGTAACTGGATTGTGGTTAATCCCTTCGGCAGACTTGTAGTTTTCTAAAACAGCTTTACTGAGGTATCACTGACCTACAGTGAACACACATGGAAAGCGGACAGGTGGAGAGTTCGACATGTGTCCTGCACACCTGTGAAGCTGCCATCACAACCCAGATAACCGGCATCTGGCACACCCAGGTCCCCTCCTCCTCGCAATTCCTCCCTCCGCCGCCTCCTCCGAGCAACCACTGACCTGCTTGCTGTTGCAATAGATTCGTTTGCATTTTCTACGTTATCCTATAAATGGAACCAGTGCTCCCCCCCCCCCCCGTCTTCCTTCTTTCACTCAGAATAGTTATTTTGAGATTCGTCACATTGTAGTGCGCATTAATAATTCACTCCTTTTCTTTGCTGAGTAGTATTCCATTGTATGGGCCAACCACAGTGTATCCTATTCATCCTTTGATGGACATTGGGGTTGTTTCCAGTTTGGGGCCCATTGCAAATAAAACGCCTTGTAGTCACATCAGAATACTCTAATGGCAACAACAGCAAGAACAGAAAGAGCCATGTGAAGCAAGCTGGGTGAAATGTTACTGTCGTTGAATTTAGGGGATAGGTTGAGGCGAACTTACTATTATCTCTGTAATTTTGTATATGTTTGAAAACTTGTTTTTCTTTTTTAAAATTAACTTTAGGGAGAGAGGAAGTGGGGGCGGGGGAGAGAGAGAAACATCGATTTGTTGTTCCACTTACTTATGCATTCATTGGTTGAGTGTTGTATGTGCCCTGACCACCTGCTTTTAATCCTTTGGGTTACATACCCAGGAATGGAATTGGTGGGTCCTATGGTTAATTCTCTTTTTTTAACTTGCTGAAATAGACTTAGCTCTAACAGAAAAAAAAAAGATTAAAAAAATTACTAAGTAGTACATGCATGTTATGAAAATCAAACAGAACAAAAGTATGTCGGATTAAAAGATGATTTTTTTCATCTTTATTCCTTCCTCCTACTCACAATTCGATTTATATCTTTACTCCACTGTCCATCTACCTGTGTATACACACAGGTGCAGTTTTTTATTTTTATTTTTATTTTTTAAAATATATTTTATTGATATTTTACAGAGAGGAAGGGAGAGAAATAGAGAGTTAGAAACATCGATGAGAGAGAAACATCGATCAGCTGCCTCCTGCACACCCCCTACTGGGGATGTGCCCGCAACCAAGGTACATGCCCTTGACTGGAATCAAACCTGGGACCCTTTAGTCCGCAGGCCGTCGCTCTATCCACTGAGCCAAACCGGTTAGGGCAGGTGCAGTTTTTTAAAAAATGGTCTTAAATCATAAAGATACTGTCCTGCAGCTGCTTTTCTCCCATCGACGGGATGTTGTGTGTGTCTTGGGTGCTAGGACAGTGGGGCCCACCCTCCTGGGGATGGAAGGGCCTGTGTGGTCCTCCATCGTTTGGATGGATCAAAATGGACTGAGCCACCGCCTTTCAGACGGGCACTCACGTTGTCTGTTCATTTGCTCTCACAGACAATGTGGTCTGAGCTTTCTCACTCACGGAGACTTGTGTTCATGAGCGAAGAAGGAATCCTGAGAGGAAACTGGCCGGATGAAAGGAAATGAGAATTTTAAAATCATGACAGATACACTGAATTGTCCAAAAGTCGGCACGACTTTTACTTTCTCTCCAACAGCGTCCGAGCGTGTCCGTTTCCCCACATCCTCACCCACATCGGACAGTTCCGTCTTTAAATTGTTACGGTTTATGATTTTAAAAGCAGCCATTTCAGTGACCTCCCCTCTTCCTTTCCATTTCGAATCCTTTAACTTAAGTTTCTTCTTTTTCTTTCTTTTTTTTTTCAGCAAAAGGAAGGGCCTGGTTTGGACGGAGCATCTGCTCCAAGGAGCCCCTGGAAGCCGGGGACGCCCGGGGAGAAGTCCAGGCAGGCACCGCGGAAGGACAGTTCTAACCAGGTTCCCAGCAGCTGTCGCGGGGCAGGCTCGGCGGGGGCCCTGAGCTCCTCGGACGGCGCCCCGGAAGACGAGGGGAGCTTCCAGACCGTGAGGGCCACAGTGTTTGAGCATCACGTGGAGAGACACACGGTGGCTGACCAGTCGGGACGCTATCCCCCAGCCACAGCCCCTGGTGCTGTGACCCACGTCTCGGAGCCCCGACTCAGGCCCAAGGGAGGCTCATGGCTGGGGAAGGACCCTCCAGAAAAGACGACCCTCAAGAAAGAGAACTCCAGGTGGTTGGAAAACCCCGACACCGAGAGAGTGGGACGGACCCCCCTCTTGAATGGTGACCCCAAACAGGATCACACGCCTCTCCCGGAAAGGCCCCCTCTGGGCGAGCAACGCAGTAGCCACCCCTTCCTGAATGGCTTGGAGCACCCTCCCAGGTCACAGAGGGTTGAGCCCAAGTATGACATCATGCACACAGTGGGGGAGCGTGCACACAGTGAGGCTGTCTCCACGGCGCCGGAGGAGAAAGCCGTGGAGCTCCGGAGTGGCGGCGGCAGGTCCCGTCTCTCGCTGAAGGGGAGGCAGCTGTCCCCCGAGGTCGCCCCTACTGACCCAGAGCGCAGGCCGGACAGTCAGGCGGGCTCCGTCCAAAGGGCCAGTCGGATTTGGGAAGCCCAAGGGACGCAGGAGGTCAGCGGGCCCATCCCGGACCCGTTGCCAAAGTGGAGAGGTGGGGCGGCCGGGAGCTGGCACAGAGCCACTCTGGTGGTCAGCGATGACATCAGCCCTGTGGTCCCCAGCGAGCGCTCGGCCAGGCCCTGTGGCCCTGAGGCCGCCTGTGTGAGGACCGTCCAGGCCGCCAGCATCGAGGCCCAGCACCAGGGGCCCGAAGGGGCCAGGAACAAGCCAGGAGGCTGTGCTTCAGCGGGAGAAAGGGCTGCTCCCCGCGGCTGCCCTCTTGACGTCCCTTCCAGAGCCAAGGCTGAGCCCTCTGACCTCCGAGCACGGCCACCCCCCGACGGGCTTGTGCAGAAAGGGCCCCGAATGGTGGCTGCCGGGGAGGGTGAGTGGAGGCCGACCCCGGCCCCGGAGCCTGAAGTCAGGATGCGGAGGGGGACCCCCGGGGACCAGAGATTCGACAAGTGGAGACGGCGGACATTGCCCCACGACGTGAAGTTTGAGGAGTTCAGCTTCCTGGCTTCAGAGGGGGAGCAGCCGGGCCCCGATTATCTGAGCCCCACCGCGGGCGCCGTGAGGAAACGGCAGCCATCCCGTAACAGGGTGGAGGCCCGGGAGGCGGACCCGGCTGTTTCCCGGGACCCGGCCCTCCCAGCTGTGAGCCCAGGGCCGTCTGGGGAACCCAAGGCCACCTTTTTTGCGGTGACATATCAGATTCCCGATGCTCAAAAGGCAAAGGGTGTTGTTAAGCCAGGGCCCGAAAGCTTGACGGGACATTCTAGAAAAATAGCTCTGCCTCCATCGCCTCATCCTTTAACTTCCACGTTGGTTTCTCCCAACCCTGAAGAGCCACTGGAGACCATGGGCAGTAAGAGCCGGGCGCAGGGCAGAGAGCGTGACAGCGCCAGCTTTTCAAACACGCTAAAGCCAACAGATGTTTCATCGCCTCCTGGGGACAGGATTCTGGATCTTTCCACCGAGAGAATCTTCGATGCAGACGCTGTGTGTGTCCATCGGCAACCAGAAGGCCGCACTGGGTTTCAGAATGACTGGAGGGAAGGTGGGAGCAAGACGTCCCCCAGTAGCGCTCCCCAAACCATCAGAAGGAGGAGCGAGGTGGTCAGCGAGACGTCCCCGGGCAAAGTCACAGGTGGCTACAGATCCAGCGTTCTTGACATAGACGCCCTGATGGCCGAGTACAAGAAGCCGGAGGCTCCGGAGCGGACCGAGGGGCCGCCCGCAGAGCCTGGCTGGGCCCAGGAGCGGCCAGGCCAGCGAGGCGGGGTGGACCGGAGGCGGAGGAGCCTGAAGGAGGGGCCCGAAGATGAGGGTCCCCGGAATCAAGCCAGTTTTGCTGAAACAAACCGCGGTTCTAGTCCAGCCTCTGGCAGGCAGCTGGCCGAGAGCCCGGGGATCGCCACGAGCCCCAAACTCAGCTCTCCTCTGTGGGCTCTGCCGCCCGGGGCTCCTGAAAAACAGCCAGGGGCCTCTCCCGGCCCCGGGGGTCCCGGGAAGAAGGTCTCGGGAATCGCTGAGGACGAGGCCAAGGCCTTTGCTAGTAAACATCACGGTGCAAAGCATCAGGATTACCCAGCCGCCTGGGAGGACCCCAGCCGTGGAGCCGGTGTGTTGGCCAAATCCTCCCCAGCGGACAGGAAGAAAGGGACCCCGAGGAAATCCGCCGGGCGGGGCGAGGAGGGCCATGTGGCCCAGTGGGGTGACCACCCGCAGGACTGTGGCAGGTCACCGCTGGACATCAAAAGGGCCTATTCGGAGAAGGGTGCCCCTGCCAAAATCCGAGAGGGCCTGTCCATCATGCAGGAAGCCAGAGAGAGGAGGCGAGAGCAGCCCAAAGGGAGGCCCAGCCTCCCTGGGGAGAGTTCGGAGGCCAACGAAACCAAAATGGGGCCCTGTCGGCGGGACTCGGGGACTCGAGACAGTCAAAAGGTGAGTATGAAGGCCGTTTCTGTGTTGTGAGACGCGGGTTACACATGAAGGCCAGGGGTATCAAACTCAGAACCTACGTGGGCCAGGTGGGTAAGGAAATGAGAGCCAGCCCGGGTGTGAGACTCTAGGGCAGTGGTTCTCAACCTTCCTAATGCCGCGACCCTTTAATACAGCCCCTCATGTTGTGGTGACCCCCAACCACAAAATTATTTTCGTTGCTACTTCATAACTGTCATTTTGCTACTGTTATGAATCGTCATGTAAATATCTGATATGCAGGATGTATTTTCATTGTTACAAATTGAACATAAAGCCTAGTGATTAATCACAAAAACAGTATGTAATTATAGATGTGTTTCCCAAAGGGGTCGCGACCCACAGGTTGAGAACCGCTGCTCTGGGGAGTGGTGGGGATTGTGGCTAATGGGAAGCTCATGCCTTGTCTGAAGGGACAAGTGCTGCTCATTTCCTGCTGGTTCTTGACAAGTGGGAATGGTGGTCCTGAGAGGGCAGACCCGGTTTATCAAGAGAATCTGAAAAAGCAATCCAGGTTTTTTCCCCATGAAATGAGGACAACTTACTAAAAAATTCTGTTCAGTCCAAATGAATAAAAAGAAAAGTGTCTGCTGGCTCCATTTAGCCACGAGTTTGAAACCTCTGGCCTAGAATGATGATAATAGTAGGCATCATTTATTGAGCACCTGCTATATTCCAGTGTGTTGTGTCAAGTTCATTATTGTATCCCAGAGGTCAGCATTCTGCTTGACGTTTTGTGAACGTTCAAGAAATATTTGTTGAGTGTGTGAATGAGCCATCTTATGTGAGCCTCGTGTGGCAATCCCTCTTTTGTGGTTTGGGTTCCCACAGAAGCAGGTTCTGGAAAGTATTGTTTTAAGAGGTGATCCTCAGAGGAGCTGGAAGAGGAGTGGAGCGGGGAGGCAGGGAAGGGAAGGCAGGTGATGAAGGTACCACTCTGGGCCACTAACCCTCATTCTCACTGGAGGCCTCGGGGGAGCAGCATAGACCACTTCCGAGTTGTCCTGTCCCAAGGGGCGAGGAACCTGGAGTATTTGTTTTCTGGTTTGCTTCTGTCTTTGCCTGAGGCTGTTTTCAGGGCTTTTTAACGTTCAGACTCTTCCATCCTGCCTGGCGCCATGCTCAGTAATGGAAGGAAAAACCCTCACACAGCCTGGCTGGTGTGGCTCAGTGGTTGAGTGTCAACATATGAACCAGGAGGTCACAGTTCAATTCCCAGTCAGGGCACATGCCTGGGTTGCAGGCGCAATCTCCAGTGGGGTGTGTGCAGGAGGCAGCCAATTGATGATGTTCTTCTTTCATCATGTTTCTCTCTCTCTATCCCTCTCCCTTCCTCTTTCTCTAAAAATCAATAAAAACATATATATATGTATATTTTTTTTAAAAGAGAGAGGGGTCCAACCTGGAAAGGGATGTTGTGGAAATGCAACAATAGAATTATATCAACGGAGATCATGAGATGAAGGTTCACCCAAGGTTAGGGGTGGAGTTTGGCTTTGAACCCATGTCTCTACTCTGCCACTTACCAGCTGTGTGTAAAGCAGGAACTTGGCCTCCTTGAGCCTCAGTTTCCCCACCAGAGTTAACAGGGATCCCTGCCTCAAGTACTGTTCCTAGGCTGAATGGAGATAAAGCACCCAGCACGCGCCGGGCACCCACTGGGCATGAGTTCAGGGCCTGCCCCTGGCTTCTGCACAGGTGCTTCTCGAGAGGGGAGCCACCTGTCCCCGCCCCCGGGGTTCTTGTGGGAGCACGGGGAGAGGGAGGAGACCAGGGAAATGCGACACTGAGGCTGTTTGCAGTGCCTCCTCGGGGCCCTGCTGGCAGTGGAGCCCGCAGGGTGGAGGGCCCGCCCGGCCTTGGACGCCCGCCCGGGTGTGCGGGCCCAGCAGCGCTGTTGTCAGGGGATCTGTTTCCTCACTAAGGACTGGGAGGCCTTGGACCAGCTCCCGTTGCTCTCCGCTCCTGCCCAAAGATATCTCGTTCTTCATCTTTAAAAAGTGAAAACCCACACAAGCAATACAGAAGTGCACAACGTTGGTCGCTGAAAATTCAGACCTTACAAAAGTGCCTAAAATTGTGTTCCCCCGGGGACCCCATACCCTTTTCCGTCCCCCAGAGGCAGCCAATGGGGCAGTTTTTGATGTCCCGTGCGACTCTCCTACACGACAGATTGTCAGTCATATATGTTTACTTATAATCATTGTATTTTCCTTATTGCAGAAGGTAGTGCGTGCTTGTGTAAAACCTAAAATATTATAGAAACAGACGGTTTAGAAAATCTCCCCGGAAAGGATGAGTCTGGTGCAGGAACTGGGGCACGCCCCTCCAGGCCCATTCACGCTTCTCAGTCTTGCACAGTTGGCCCTCAGGGCCCATTTGACAAAGTTTGAGACTTTCTCTGTTGTGACAACTGGGGGAGAGTATGATCCCGGCATCTAGTGGCTGGAGACCAGGGGTGCCGCCCAGCCCCTCCAATGCCCAGGATGGCCCCACTGCAGACAGTCATCAGCCTCACGGCCGAGGAGCCCTGGGCTAGACACAGGTAGAGGTAACGCAGAGTACATACCATCTAGGAAACACAGCAACATTCTTCAGAGCATCTGACAACTTGCCTTTTTTTTTTTTTTTTTACTTAACAGTAAAAAACAGTTCTATTACCTCGTTATTTTGAGTGGCTGCAAAGTATCTTATTATGGGATTGAGCCCCAACTTTTTTATCCAGATTCTGGTTGATGGACATTTGGGTTGGTTCCAGTTTGGGGGTTAGAAGCAGGATGTATGTCGTTGAGCATTTTGAGGCACATCTTTGCTTCCTCGGCGAGGACTTCATGATTCACAGCCAGTTCTGCTCATGGATGGTGCATGGGTGTGATTGTAATTAAAGTGCTCCCTCCCTCCTCCTCTCCCTCCCTTCTTCCCTTCCTTTCTCTCTCTTTCTTTTTTCCACTTAACAAACATTTATCGAAACTTTGCCCCACGCCCGATTATTGTATTTCATGTAATTAAATTACTTATTTTTGTTTCGGAAGACAGAATGTTTTCACATGGCTCTCAAAATATTTAAAGGTATGGAGTAAAAATTCCCCCATACCTCTGGTTCCCCATCTTCCCATCCCTCCCCACCCAGTAATTACTTCCATTCTTGTTTGTGCAAATTCCTTTAGAGTTTCTTTCTGAAAATACAAGCAAGTAGGAATGCATAGTCTTGGTTTTGCCTCATTTTTTCCCCCCACAAAAGAGCATTCTGTGCAAGTGGTTGAAGCTTTGGTCGCCTGTGGGAGTAGCCCCCTAAAAGAAGGCGATGCAGGGGCCTCACCCCAGACCAGTTCGATTGGGATCTCGGGGGTGGGGTCCGCCTTTGTTCGCTGTAGACGCTCCCAGGGGATTCTCGGGGTGAGGGTTTCTGCTGAACCCACAGATGGGCCACTTGCCTTTTTTCGTAAAAGCGTTTTGGAGAGTTTTTGGATTTAGCCCACGGAGAGAGGGCTCTTGCCTTCTGGTTGCTGCACGGGTGGGAACACTGAGGCTCAGAGAGGTCTGCCTGGGTGGCCTGAGTCACAGCTGGTGTGTACGTACCTTGTGCGTGCCCACGTACCTTGTGCGTGCCCACGTACCTTGTGCGTACCTATGTCATTGTGCACATGCGCAGGTTCAGCCGGTCCTCGAATGACGTCATTTCGTTCAGCATCGTAACCAGGAGAGAGAAAAATGGCTCCCCTGCTGGGGTCACTGCCCGTGGAGTTTGCACGCTCCCCCCATGTCCGCGTGGGCTTCTCCGGGTACCCCGGTTTCCTCCCACGCTGCAGAGGTGTGCGTGCTGGGCTACTCGGGTGGGTCTGCATCGTCCCCGCCTTGGTGAGTACGGATGTGCGCGGCCCTGGGACGGACAGGTGTCCTGTCCAGGTGGGTGCCCGCCTTGGGCCCCGAGCTGCCGAGAGAGGCTTTGGCCCCCCACGAACTGGAGTAATGGGTGAAATCATCTTGTGTGTTGTTGTTGTTTTTTAATCTTTACCTGGGGAATGAAGATATTTTTTTCCATTGAGTTTTAGAAAGAGTGGAAGGGAGGTGGGGAGAGAGAAACATTGATTGGTTGCCTCCTGCAGACGCCCCTCCAGGGGCGGGGATTGAACCTGCTCTCCAGGTGGGTGCCCTTGGTGGCGAATGGAACCTGCGACCCTCTGGGGCACAGGCCCAGCCTAACCCTGGAGCCTGGCCGGCCAGGGCCATCGTCTTGTTTGTAGCCATCCTTCTTAAATGTATGTATAGCTCACATTTATTTCTGTGCTTAATATGAGATGTTTGGGGTCTTTATTTCGAGGTGTGGGGATGTTTTTGTGACCAGATACATGTCCCAGGAACTTTTGTTTAGATCAATGAGCCTGTGGTCCGGCTGGTGTCGTGATCCCTTGTTTCGCTTACAGTCAGTTTCCCAGGCCCTCGGGGCGACGCTCAGTGTGGACGTAGTGGACGTGCGCGGGTTCAGGATGGCGGTCGCCTGTGCAGGGGTGGGCGCGGTTGTCATTTTGCAGGACCCGCTGGTTCGCCCCGCAGCGGGGCTGTCCCACTTCGCATCCTCACCGTGAACAACAGGGCCCGTTGCCTCAGACCCTGGGGCGCACGGCCCCAATGAGTGCCCCTCACCCTCGTCTTGTCCCGAGGCTGAAGCCGTCCGTATTTCCCTCCTGTAACCCGCTTGCTTACCTTCCGCCCGCTTTTCTCATTCCGCTCTTTAGGAGGAAGATGAGCCCTTGGTGCTCTGCTGATTTGATGTCTCCCTGGACTGCCACTTGGGCAGAGCTGGGATGGGGCCCTAGCTTTGTGACTTCCTGGCTGTGCCACTCTGGGCACTTGGCCAGACCTTTCTGAGCCTCAGTTTCCTCATCTGCAGAATGGGGATCCTCCCTGCTTCACGGACTTGTTAGGGGTTTATCAGGAAATCATGTGTGGTCTAGCCCCAGGCC